AAATTCAAGAAAATTGGAATCATAACAAGACTTTTCTTGGACCACAAGGGCTTGAAACTAGAAACCAACCTCAAGGAAAAATCTCAAGAACATTAAAACTAATGGAGACTGAATAGCATGCTATTAAATAATGAATGGGTCAATAATGAGATCAAAGAAGAAATAAAAAAGTTTCTGGAAACAAATGAAAATGAGCACACAACAGACCAAAACCTATGTGGCACAGCGAAGGCAGTCCTGAGAGGGAAGTTCATAGCAATACAGGCCAGCTAAAAAAGACAGAAACATTTCAAATATATGACCTAACCCTACAGCTTCAAGAACTGGAGAGACAACAACAAAGCCCAGAGCAAGTAAAAGAAAGGAAATAATCAAGATCAGAGCAGAATTGAATGACATAGAGACTAAAAGAACAATTCAAAGATCAAGTAATCCAAGAGCTGGTTCTTTGAAAAGACAAACAAAATCAACAAGCCTTTAAGCAGACTCATCAAGAAAAAAAGGGAGAGGACCCAAATAAATAATATCAAAAATGAAAGAGGAGAAATAACAACTGATAACATAGAAATACAAAGGATTGTAAGAAACTACTATGAACAACCATTTGCCAAGAAATTTGAAAACCTTGATGAAATGGACAAATTTCTAGAAAAATATAACCTTCCAACACCGAATGAAGAAGAATCAGAAAGCCTGAACATACCAATAACAGCTGGTGAAATTGAAGCAGTTATCAAAAAATTCCCAGCACAGTAAAGCCCTGGATCAGACATTTTCACAGGTGAATTTTAGAAAACATTTAATGAGGAGCTAACCCCTGTCTTTCTCAAACTATTCGAAAAAATCCAAGAAAAAGGAAGACTCCCAAGCTCGTTTTATGAGGCCAGCACCATCCTAATCCCAAAACCAGATAAAGACACAACAAAGAAAGAACACTACAGGCCAATATCGCTGATGAACATAGACACTAAAGTCCTCAACAAAATATTGGCAAACTGCATCCAGCAATACATTAAAAAGATCATCCACCATGATCAAGTGGGATTCATCCTAGGGATCCAAGGATCATTCAATATTTGCAAATCAATAAACATAATACATCACATAAACAAAATCACATGATCATATCAATAGATGCATAAAAAGCACTTGATATGGTACAGCACCCATTTATGATAAATACACTCAGCAAAGTGGGAATAAAGGGGACATACCTCAACATATAAGGGCCATATACGAAAAACCTACAGCCAACCTTATATTCAATGTGCAAAAACTAAAAGCTTTCCCACTAAGATCAGGAACAGGACAAAGATATCCACTTTCACCACTTCTATTCAACATAGTATTGGAAGTCCTAGCCACAGCGATCAGACAAGAAAAAGAAATAAAAGTCATCCAAATTGGAAAGGAGGAAGTAAGACTGTCATTGTTTGCAGATGACATGATAGTGTACATAGAAAACCCCATAGACTCCACTAAAAAACTACTCTATCTAATAAGTGAATTGGGCAAAACAGCGGGATACAAAGTCAATATTCAGAAATCGGAGGTGTTTTTGTACACTGAAAATGAAATAGCAGAAGCAGAAATCAGGGGAAAAAATTCATTTGCTATAGCAACAAGGAAAATAAAGTACCTAGGGATAAACTTAACCAAGAAGGTAAAAGACCTGTACACAGAAAACTATATAACACTGAAGGAAGAAATTAATGAAGACACAAATAAATGGAAGCATAGACCATTTATTTCATGGATTCATGGATTGGAAGAATTAACATCATCTAAATGTTCATACTACCCAAAGCAACTTATAGATTTCATGCAATCCCTACTAAAATACCAATGATGTATTTCTCAGACATAGAACTAACACTTCAAAAATTTTTATGGAACCTTAAATGACCCCAAATAGCCACAGCAATTTTGAGAAAGAAAAACGAAGTAGGAGGGATCACAATACCTGACATCAAACTATATTACAAGGGCACTGTAATCAAAATAACCTGGTACTGGCATAAGAACAGACACATAGATCAGTGGAACAGAATAGAGAGCCCAGAAATAAACCCACATCTCTCTAGTCAATTAATATTTGGCAAAGAGGGAAGAAGCATAAAATGGAGTAAAAATAACCTCTTCAACAAATGGTGTTGGAAGACCTAGACAGCTACATGCAAAAAATTGAAATTCAATCACCATCTTACAACATACACAAAAATAAACTCAAGATGGATAAAAGACTTAAATGTAAGTCACGACACCATAAAAGTCCTAGAGGACAACATAGTCAGGAAACTCTCAGATATCCCACTCAGCAATATTTTCACCAATATGTCCCCTAGAACAAGGGACATAAAAGAAAAAATAAACAATTGGGACTTTATCAAAACAAGAAGCTTCTGTATGGTTAAAGGAAACATCAGCAAAATGAAAAGGGAAACAATGGTATGAGAAAATATATTTGCCAATGATACCTCAGACAGGCTTTTGATCTCCAAAATATATAAAGAACTCACACATCTCCAACTCTAGGAAGACAAACAATCCAATTAAGTAATGGGCAAAGGACCTGAAGAGATACTTCTCCAAGGAGGACATATACAGGTCTCAGAGACATATGAAAGAATGCTCATCATCTCTAGCCATCAGAGAAATACAAATTCAAACCACAATGAGACACCACTTCACAGTGATCAGAATGGCCATCATAAATAAATCAACAAACAACAGGTGCTGGTTAGGTTGTGGAGAAAAGGGGACTCTAGTACATTGTTGGTTGGAATGCAGACTGGTGCAACCACTGTGGAAAACAGTTTGGAATTTCCTCAAAAAGCTAAAAATGGAACTGCCTTTTCACCCAGTGATTCCACTGGTGGGATTAAACCCTAAGAATCCTGAAACACCAATTCAAAAGAACCTGTGTACCCCAATGTTCATAGCAGCACAATTTACAATAGCCAAGTGCTGGAAGCAACCTAAGTGCCCATCAGTAAATGAGTGGATCAAAAAACTATGGTACATTAACACATTGGAATTCTATGTAGCAGAAAGAAAAACAGAGTGAGCTACCCTTCGCAACAGCATGGATGGAACTGGAGAGCATTATGTTAAGTGGAATAAGCCAGGGGTTGAAAGACAAATACCATATGATCTCACCTATAAGTGGAACCTAATCAGCAAAGAAAGCAGGCAAGGAAAATATGACCACCAACATTGAAAGAAAGAAGAAACCAACGTGGGACAGGAGGGAGGGAGGGAGAGGTTAGCGTGAGGAGAAGGGGAAGGGTCAGATCAAGGAACAGGTATGCAGGACACATGGACGAAGCCAAGGTGGGTAAGGATTGAGGGGGGTAGGGGGGGCACAGGAAAATGGTGGCAGGTAAATGGAGTCAAATATATTTGAACAATAAAAAAAAGTAATTAATTTTTTAAAAAGGAAAATACACAGAGGAAAAAATCACCTACAGAAAGACAAGAGTATGAATTACAGCAGACTTCCCAGCCCCCAGAAACCATGCAAGAAAGAAGACAATCAGCACTTAAATAGTGCTGAAAGAAAGAAACCTGTCAACCTATATCCTGTGCTCAGCAAAAATATTCTTCACAGATAATAATAAAATCCTTTTTCAGACAAATACTTATGAAATTCACTGCCAGTATACATACTTTGCAAGAAATGTACAAACAAAAATGAAAAACTTCAGGCAGAAAGAATATGAAATAGGTAGGAAAATTAGATATATCCAAAAATTTAAATGGAATAAATAAAAAAAGTAAAATCCATTTTTTAGATTTAAATGTGCTCATTAAAAGATAACTATTTAAAGCAAAATAATATATTTTCATATAGTATGGGTAAAAGTAAAATAGTGAAAAAGTACAATTATAAAATTCACTGACAAGTTTTTAAAATGCTTAAAGATGGACTTATTTTTAAATATAACAAAATTACTCCAGAATTTAAGTGGAAAGAACAATAACTATGACTTTTGAAAATTTTGGGAAAAAATTAAAGAAAAGCGAAAGCCTTATGGATATTAAAAGTATTTGTTGTGAACTAAATTGTATTGACTATACACTTAACTGGAATCTTATCTGGGTAGAGAATGCTTCCTCAAAACTATAGATATTGTTTTGTGGTCTTTTGTTATTTAGGGTTGAATAAGAGGCCAGGCTGGTTTATCTTTCTTTACAGTCATTCTACTTTTAAATTTTATTTTTAGCCTTTTTGTCTTTGGAATTTAAAATGTTTGCAATACTTACCTGAATAAAAATTCACCTTCTCAAATTTTTTGACAATCTGAACTCTTTGAGTTCCCTAATAGTGCCCATTTTAGTTTATGTGTGGAGATTTTTTTCTGGTAATAGTTTGCTTCATTACTTTTATGTTTCTTTCACAAACATACCTCTTACTTTTAGGACACTGCTTTTTTCCCCCAGGCTTCTACTTGAGGAATCATCTCTTTGACCAATTTAATATCCGTTTATAGTGGGAATGAAGTAGTAAAGCAGTAGCTTTTGTTTGCCATCCTTGATTGTGCAGCTCTCACAGGAGGACACCCTAGTGTCCCTAAAATTCATTAAAATCTTCTATCAACTTGGTGGTGGAAATGAGCAGGGGAAAGCTACTTACTCCCAACCTACACATGTAATAAATCACACTTTTTATTGTCTTACCCAAATCTGTATAATGTTGTTTTATTGTATCTTATAGACACAGAGATATTCCACCCCCCGCTCCCCTTTTAGCTATCTTATTTTCTAGGTTTTTTTGAGGGAATTTCAAGAGGGAGCATTTTTAGTATGCCTCATCTTAATGTTGTACCTGGAACTCAAACCACTGAATTACTTTTTAAACATATAAGTAGACCTAGGTCAATGAATTCAAATGCAAGGAAAAGGTTAAATTTCTTCCACAAGCGTCAGCTATCTCTGACAAAAGAGAAAAGAGGAACAGCTTTTGTTAACGAAAATTACAGAGTATTCAGTCATTGGGAAGGAAGGCTTTCACAGGGTGGAAGGGATTTCTCCTCATTCCACTGTAACTCAGACTAGCGCAGACAGAAACAAGCAGGGTTATTCCTAGACATAAGCCCAACAGTGGACACAGCCAGGATGGATCTCAGATGGTGAGTGAATATTCTTATTATTCTTTGAAAGGCAATTTTCAATTAAGTGACCTCAGCAGCAGGCTGAGGTTTAAGATGGGTACTGTTTTCTGTCCTTCCTGCCCAAGAATGCTAATATGTTATAAGAACATATTTACACAGAAGCCAAAAGTACAAACACTGGGGAGAAAGAATGGTCTATGCTAGAAAGCAGTAGCTGAAGTCCCAAAGCCATTCTTCCCTTCTTGGAACATCTACTGTAGGTTGATTACACAACTCCAAGGCAGGGAAGCTTTTGAAAAAATTTCTGTGAAAGACATTTGACTGCCACTTGAAGGAGAGAATTATTGAGCTGACCAAAATTTTATTGCTTGCTGTTTTTTTTAAGTGATTAATTTTAATTTTGTAATTTTTTTCAAATATTTCAATGTTACAGTTGTTGATTTTAAGAGTCATGAAATTTTAAAATATCTGCATTAGGATACCAAATAATAGGGAGCAAATTTTGTGTATACCAAGGTCAGTTTGGCCTGGGAATGGGGTAAAAACATAGAGAAGGTAGAAAGAGACGGGCCAAGGAAAAGGAAGAGGAAGAAGAAGCATAAAAAGAAAATACAGAACCCAGATAATGAGTCACAAATCGACCATGGTAGATTCTGAGTAGGATGAGATGGTGGAAAAAAGTAGAGTAATTCAATTAGCTACTGGATATTGAACATGCTTGGTGTGCTGTGTATTTTACTACTGTTGTTTCACTGAATTTTAATCTTTGCAATGACTCTCAGGCAGATAATATCATCACTATGTTTTATGAATGAGGTAACTGTGACTGAAGAGGCTAAAGGTCATACTGCTCTTAACGAGTAGAGCTAAAACTTTATTGTCACTCGGTTCCACACCACAAGGTTTCTCCATGCCCCGGCAGGCTCCTATGGCAGTGACTTACGGAAAGGACTCACAGCCATCCTTCTCTTGGATACTGGCAGCTAGGGTCATTATTTATTACTGTTCTTTGAAAATCTAAGTAAGTCTTGTCTACCCATTGCTTATTGGTTTGGGAAACAGCTTTGCCGCTTTTATTTCAGAAGGTTAGAATTTAAATTCCAAGTAAAGATTTCTTTTCCCTCCAGTGGAATTCTGAAATACTGCACATGTATGAAAAAGTTACACATATGTGAATATTCTGTAGATTATAGACTCTCTTTGTTTCAAAGAGATTATGAGCAGGAATTTTACAATATAAATAGCCAGTAAATAATGTTTAATCTTATCTAAAATAAAGAAATGTAAATTAAAACAGTGAAATGTTATTTTTCTATTATCAAAGTGGCAAATATTTTGTTTAAAAAGGAAGCAAGCAAAACTCCTATGTGTTTCTAAGGAGAGAAGAACACTTATACCCTTATTACCAGAGGATAGTAATATGGTCTTCACAATAATCTGGTGACACATATCAAAAGCCCTTAAAATGTTCATTTCCTTGAATCAAGCAGTTCAACTTTTAGGAATTTATTATGAGGACATATCATACATGTTTGTAAAGTTTTAGTGATGTGAATATTTTTCTTGCCCTTGTTTGTAACAGGGAAAATCTTGGAAACAACTTAAGTTTCTAGACATAGGTAACTGGTTAATTAGGGAACATTCATAATGGTGTGCCACACAATCATTAAAAAATTCTATTGTAGAGCAATTTTTGATGTGTTTAGCTTAAGAACAAAAAAAGAGCAGAGCATACAGTTCTATTACTTTTATACATGATACCTGTATATACACAATGTTAATGAGATATATAGGTGATGTGATTTCTCTTCTCTACTTTGTGCTTTGAAACTTGGATTACATCTGAAGGCACAAAAAGAAAATTAGATATCTAAAAAAAGAAACCAATAACTCATAATTTGTGAAATTTCATTGTTAGGGCTTTGGTAATTTGTGTTTAACTTTTTGTCTCTTGATGCCTCTTCAAATATACCTACCTTACCCATAATTCACTAGCTCTTAATAGGCTTGTTTTCATAGAATGTCTATGTGAAAGAGACCAGAGCTCTCATTTCCTTATTTTACAGATATAATGGCATGGCCCTAGAGTGAGTGACATGTTGGGAGGAAAAATAGTATAGTGGTTAAGCGAGTATACTTTGGAATATGAGTGCTGAGGTTTAAATCCCAGCTTCTCCCACCTTTTAGCTGTGTGACCTTGGCCAAGTTGCTTGACAATTGTAATCCTCAGTTATCTGTATAATGAGGATAGTTGTGACTTGTCATAAGGTGGTTGTGAGGTTTTAATGAGTTAATCCATGTAAAGTGCTTAGAACCTTGTTCTGATAACTGTGAAGTAATTATTATTAGTTGTTTTTACTACTCTTACTGTCAGGATTAAGAAATAGAGGAAACGTGATTTGTCCAAGATTACACAACTACTTGATGGCAATACTAGGACTAGAATTCAGGAATGTTTTTCATCAAGCAGGTATTTAATACTCTCTGAGACTGTCAGGACAACCCCAGACTGGGCTCCAAGGGAGGCTCTGACCTGAAATAGGCAGAGCCCAAGTACAAGATCTGCCACTTTTTGTTTTTTAAATTCAATCTTGTATATTTTTTATATTACCTTTTATTCCCCTTATACCCTCTTACCTCCAGCAATCACCACACTGTTGTCCATGTCCCGGAGTCCTTTTTCCTTTTTGCTTAATCCCTCTACCCCCTAAGACTCCCCAGCTAGCTGTCATCCTGCTCTCTATGTATGAGTCTGTTCCCATTTTCTTTGTTAGTTCAGTTTGTTCATTAGATCCCAGGTATGAGTGAAGTCATATGTTATTTGTCTTTCTCTGAGAAGGCCAGACACTTCTGATCACAGTGGGAAACCAAGTGCTGGAGAGGAGGGTGAGGCTAAGGAAGCTAAGAGCCAGGTTAGGCACAGAGAAAAAGCCTGGAGAAAAGGGTAGTGCAGGAGAGAAGAGATGACTCAGATACTTTTCTAGACCACCAGCTGTGGGCTTCATGATGGGTCAACAAGGTTTAAAGACCCAAGGTCTGGGTGGTTAAATAGACAAATAGGGTGAATGGGAGAATTGCAACTATAGGTCCAAGAAGATGCCTGACAGATAGTAATAAAACAGGATGAGGTAGAAACTGGGAGGGACCAGGACAAGGAGCCTCCAGAGCCTAGGCACCCAGCTGTGGTTATCCTAAAGTCACAGCCTAAGTTTGAAGAGTCGTAAACAAGCAAAGATAATGATAAAATTTGCTTTAAAAATTCCTCTTGCCTCAGAGTGCAGAAGTGATTTGGGGTGACAAGGAGATAATTTAGAAAACTATTGTAATAATTCAAGAAGAGGTGTTAAGGACATGAAACCTGGACAGTTATGGTGGGGTCAGAGAGGAAAGGATGCATTTAGGAAAATTTTAAGAATAGAATTGATAGGATTTGGGTTTTGGTAAATGTGGAGCTTGGAAGGAGAGATCTAAGTACATAGTGGTGTCCTTCACAAAATGGGGGATATATAGGAAGTGTATTGGGTTTGGGCTGGGGGAAGAAGTTGAATTAATTTTTTACATGCTGAATTTGAGATCCTTTGGAGCAGCTGAATGGAGATGTGCAAGTAGACAAGTAAATATACAGGCACAAAGCTCAAGAAAGAGTTACGGGCTGCAATAGACATTAAAAGTCTTCAGCAAAAGTACAGCTGATTGTTGAAATTCCTGTTGTGGGTGAGATCAGTAGAGAAAGATCGTGGGGTGAGAAGAAGCCAAGGACAAAACCTGTAAAACTTTGATATTTAAGGAGGTAGAAGAGGATGAGGAGTCCAAAGCAAACACCAAAGTGGGCCTACAGAGATTAGAGCAAAGCAGAAGAGAGATGCAGGAAAGAGGAGGATGTGTCCATGGAAAGACAGAGTACATTTACCAGACTTCTACACCGAGCACATGAGATACAACAGGAAAAATGACTCTAGGGACTCAGTGTTAAGAGTTGAACTGTGTCCTCACAAATTTATATGCTGAAGTCTTAACCCCATACCTCAGTATGTAATCATGTTTGGAGATAATCAAGTTAAAGTGAAATCATTAGGGTGGGCCCTAATCTAAGATGACTGATGTGCTTATAAAGCAGAGGAAATTTGGGTACAGAAACACACACAGAGGGAAGATGATGTGAACAACCTTGGAGACAATGGCCATCTACCTGCCAAGGAAAGAGGCCTGGAAAAAATGCTTCCCTCACGGCCCTTGGAAGGAATCAGCACTGCTGATATCTTCATTTTGGATCTCGGGCTTCCAGAACTGTGAGACAATAATTTTTGTTGTTAAAGCCAGTCAGTTTGTGGTACTTTGTTACTACATCCTATCAATATAAAAATGTCCAAACCTGAGGAGGATTTTTATAAGAGTTTATTTGAGCCAAACTGATGACAATTGCTGGGAAGCAAGATCTCAAATACTCTGAAGAGTAACAGTTTTTCAGTTTCTTTTATGCATTTGGAATTAAGGAGGGAACATAAGGAAGGTTACATGAAGGTGAAAAAAAGCAAGGCAGGGATTCGATTACAGGATAGTTAATAAGATTATGTGCTCTTTTAGGAGTGGTTACTCTTCTGAGGGGTCTGAATAGGTGGCATTTCAACAATGGGTTAACCTAGATGTACAAAACCAATGGATAAGGCTTGCTTAAGGCAAAGATAAAACTTTTACTAAAGAAGTTATATGCCTGGGACCTGCCCAGTTAGGATTTTTGATCAGATCACCTTCTGAGGTTACTTTCAGTTAGATTTATTACAGTGCTCTTTTTCATCCACAATCCCTAGCAAACGAATATACTTGGTGAATGTTCACAATACCTTTGTAAGAGTGCATATAGCCAGAGAAAGAAACTAAACAAATGTCTCAGACATGGGAGGGGAAATGTCCTAAAAGTATTAGGTTACCTAATCTAAGAGGAGAAAGATGTTTCACAAAGCAGAGGGTAGTCACAAGGTCACATTCTACAGAAAGGTGAAGTAGAAGAATGACTAAAA